GCTGTTCTGAGGCGGAGCGGGGTCAGAGGGTGGGACTCGGGCTGCCCGCAGTGGGCGCCCGCTCTAGGCCAACCTCCAAATCCCTAGCCCGGCCGGGTGTGACGCAGCCAGTCCTCCCAGCGCCCGGGAGGCGGAGGCAGGAGGACAGCGGCGAGTTCGAGGCCAGCCTGGGCTACATAGTGAGTTCAAGACCAGCCTGGACTGCATAGCGAGACCCTGTCTCAAAAACACCAAAAAAAAAAAAAAAATTCCTGCCCCGCGGTAGGAGAACGTAGGCTGCACTGAGCTTGGTATCCAAGTGCGAGCCAAGGCTTAGCTCTGGGAAAGAACTGGCACAGCGAGACGGAAAATACAACTGAATCCCACTCGCGAAGTAACATTTATTGTGTCTGAAAGCTTCTTTTCGTTCCAGGGTGTTCGTGCATGCTGGGTCGCTCGGGTTGCAGCTTAGCCACTGCCCGAGAGGGTGTTCCTAACTTGGAACCCGCAAGGGCAGAGTGCAGACAGGACTCCGGGGCTGGTTCTGCAGGGAGGAACCACTGAGCTGGAGAGAAGTGGGAGTCCTCGGGAAAGGAGAAAACCCCTGAAAAAGGACTGGGAAGAGTATTTTTCGAACTGTGTTGGGGGCGGGGAGCAAGCTCTTCTAGTGGGAGTACTGTAAACTAGACGGACGCACACACACTTGTAGTCCCAGCGCTTGGGAGGCCGAGGCAGGATTGCGGTGGGTTCAAGGCCAGCGCAGGCTACAAAGTGAGCTCAAGGCCAGCCTGAACTACATAGCGGACCCTGTCTCAAAAACAAACAAAAAACAAACCTCAGACCTAGACTGTGCAAATTTCGTCGAGGCTACTGAGATTACTATTGTTTCTCTAGGGAGAAGTTCCTCACATGGAAGTTACTTCCTGACCTGTTTGAGGGTCAATTAGTTTGAGTGTAGAAATTAGGATTCTACACTCGCAGAACTATACTCTTTTCACAGTGCAGGTAAAAGTCCCTCAAAGAAGGAGAAAAGGTACAAATATATATCCCAAAGAGTGCAGAGAGAAGCTTGACGCCTGCCACAAAGTCATCTGCTAGTATTTTCCATTTCTTTCCCCCAGGCAGACAGACTGCACTTGCGGTCAGCTGGGTGCGGGACACTGCTGGGTGAGGGGAAGCCGAGCGTGAATAAACTACAATCCCTGACCTCAGGATGCTTACAGTCTGGAGGTGGAGATAGGTAGGTAATCTGATTATCCTGCAATGTGCTGAATTATAGAGATGGAAACAAAACTTGTAGTCACTAGGTGATTAGTGTTTGTTCTGTATGTTAGCTTTGAGTGACAACAGGTGTGTCATTAACAAAGCTTATACCCGTGTCACTGTCAGAACTCACAGGACTCTGAGCAGTGCACCACAGCCTTTGGCTCCTAAGAAACCCTCTTTAGTGTCAATATCTTGGGAATTGAAATCGATGGTCACACACTTGAGACACTTATTTGTAGGGAAATGGATGCACGTTGAAACCATAATCTTAAGTGAAATAGACTGAACACGTATAAATACCGCATTGTTCTCTGGTGTGAGAAATGGAAAGTGTAAATAAAGATCGAAATGTGTAATAGGTATTGTGAAATAGGAAGAAAATATTCAAGTGGGAAGGGGGAGGGGGAGAGGGAAGGAAAGAAGAGGAAGGTAGAAAAATGAGAAAAGGAAAACAGAAACAAATCTTTTGTAAATGGGGAGGGAGGAGGGGTTGAAGGGAGGTAGGGGAATGGGAAAAAAACAAGTTATATCATGTACAGGTACAAATTCTCTATGATGAATGTGATCATTATGTATATCCAAAATGTACCAATAAAATATGATTTAAAAATAAAGAAAGAAATCAGTGGTCACCAAAACACATAGTATTAGAGCAGGAGCATCCCTTAGAAATGAACTAGGCTGGGTGTGGTGGTGCGCACCTGTAATCCCAGCACTTGGGAGACAGAGGCAGGAGGACCACTGCAAATTTGTGGAGGTTTTTTTTGGTTGTTTTTTTTTTGTTTGTTTGTTTGTTTGTTTTTTTGAGACAGGGTCTCACTATGCAGTTCAGGCTGACCTTGAGCTCACTTTGTAGCCCAGGCTGGTCTCAAACTTGCAATGATTCTCCTGCATCAGCCTCCTAAGTGCTGGGATTACAGGCATGCGCCACCATGCCCAGCTGTGATCACTGCAAATTTGAAGCCAACCTGGGCTACATAGTGAGCTCAAGTCCAGCCTGAATAACATAGTGAGACCCTGTCTCAAAAAAACAAAAAGTCAGCTAGGAAAATCAAGTCACACAGAAGGCTGGCAACTGGCTCAAGATTACCCCACTTCTTAGTGGTGGAACTGGGAAAGGTCACACATGTCCTGGATTCAGCCCAGTCTTTATATATCATGTTTAGAGCCTCTGCCGATATAGTAGGACCAGTTCCAGAATTTCTCTCAGCCAGTGTCTTCAGTTGGAATGTTTACTACCTTAGTCCTTCATGTCTGGCCTTAGTAATTGCTAGAAAAACTGCTTCGCATCTGCTAAGACTTCTTCTTTCAATTCCCTTTTTGCTTTCTCCTGGGCCACTTGTAACATACTGAGCCCTGGCCAGGAGAGAGCCAAGTTATCAGCTTCTCAGTTCTCTGTGGTTTATAGAATCCGGGATCCGGCTGCCTATTTTAGTCGCAGCCTTGAAATGCTGATTCACACTGAACTTGAGGCCCACACTGTCGCCTCTTCCCTTCTGCTGTCCCCTTCCCTCAGCTCTTTCCTTCGTTTGCTATCCTCTTTTATCCAGTCTCCTAATTTGTCAGTTCCCTAGTCTGCTGGCATGTGACCTTTCCGTCTCTGGTGTATCTTAGTGAGCGCCTCTCAGCCAGGAGCTTGGGGTGAGCACTTGTTTTAGGCCCTGAAGGGGAGAACAAAGGATGAGCCCATGGTCTACCTTAGAGAGTTAGGGCACATTTAGTTGCTCAGGAATTTTTTCTCTCTTTTTTTTTTTTGGTATCAGCAATTGAACTCAGGACCCTGCACTTGCCTGGCAGACACTGTGCCACTGAGCTATATCCCACGCCCTCACTCAGGAATTTTTAAAAGCACTTTGTACCTTTGCCAAGGAAAGGAGTCAGATAGATTAATGGATGAGTCCATTCTAAAATAATCCAACATGGCTAATGTAAAACCACTCTCACTGGGCTTAGTTTGTGGACTGGTAAAGACAGAGCAAAGGGAAGAACCAGCTCACAAAGGTGGTGAAATCTAATGTGGTCCTGTAATTGCATTTCCTCTAGAGGGATTAATTACAAGGAGAAAGACACAGGGTGATAATGAACATTCCATTTTATTTGCGCTTTTTTGAGACAGGGTCTTTCTGTCTAGTCCAGGGTGGCCTTAAACTCACTGGGTAGCCTAGGGTGGCCTCAAATTTGTGAGCGCCTGTTTTCACCCGTTTTTTTTTTTTTTTTTTTTTTTTTTTTAATCTGGCTCTGATTCAGTAGTCTCAGAATGTTTGATTGTTTGCTGTTTTTTTTTTTTTGTTTTGTTTTCCAGCACTGAGGATGTAACCCAGGGCCTTGAGCATCCTACAGAAGCACTCTACCACCAAGCTATAACCTCAGCTCTATTTTTTTCTTGTTGACTCAAGTTCTATTGCATGCAGATCTATGAACCGTCTCGGGAAGGCCACTGGACTCAGGAAAACGTTTAGTTGGAGGCGATGACCTGAAAGAAAAGATAATTATGTCCACAGTCAGTAAATTCTCTCTACCTCCTTTCTTATTTTCTCAGGGCTCAAAGTTAAATATGTCCTGTGTGGGATTTATGGGGAGTTGTGGGGGCAGCAGCAGGGCTCAGGAGGCCTCGATATCATGGCGCATGCCCAGGATGTGGAGGCATGGGTAGACTTTGAAGTGCTGTGAGCCAGGATGCATGTACGAAGGCTCCAGAACACCTGAAGGTTGAAGGGCATGGTGAGATGGACTGCGTGTTCCCACCACTAGGTCAGTGTAGACAGTCTCTCCTAGCATCCTTTAAGGTGACGTAGGACAACCCCATCTGTGCCTGGGTCAGGTCTCTATCTCAGCCTAACCAGTAGACGATATGGGGAAGTCTGCCGCACAGCTACGTGAGGAGAACTGGGGATGGCACTCTTAGGTGGCGCAGGGGAAGGGCTGCATGTGTGAGTGCAGTAAGGAAGACAGTGGCTTCCGCAGCCCATCTTTTGCTCCTAACCCATGCAGCACTTGAATCTCCAGGTGACTGTGTTTTAACCCATCGTTTGAGAGGACTCACATTGTTTATCCAAGAAATGTAAGCAGAGACGCGCGTGAAGACTGTGGGCTTCCTGGCAACATTGCAACCCAGCGAGGACACAAAGCTGGTCACTCCATGGACAGAATACTGACCATTCACCAAGCAGTTGAGGGGGCCTCCAGAATCACCCTGCAGGGAAGAGAAGCACAGTCCTGCAACTTCAGCCATCTCTATGGTGAAATTTTGTGCAGTTTTAAAGCTCCAATTCAAATTTCTACTTCTTTCCTATCCCTGCAGTCAAAGGAGTCTCTCTGTCCTTTCTAAGCCGGCCACAGCACTTCTTCCTCTCCTTGGCGGCACTTATGTCATATTCTGCCTTGTATTTTCGTTTCATGATTTGTCTCTGTTTCTCATACATATCCATGAGCTTCTTAAATCAGGAACTATATCTCACCGACATCTTTCCTTCCCACCATGCTAGCATAGGACCTTTTTGTTGTTGTTTGTTCTTGTGGTTGAACCCAGAGCCTTGCACTTGCTAAGCACATGCTTCTGCCACTGAGTTAGACCTGATATTTGTGTTTGTATGCTCAAGGCCTTCAGTTCAATTCCAAGCACTGTAAAAACTAAATGTAGACCAAAACAAAGGTCTTTTATTATTACAAAAAAAAGATAGGCTGGGCCTGGTGGCGTACGCCTGTAATCCCAGCACTTGGGAGACTGAGGCAGGAGGATCATTGCAAGTTGGAGGCAAGCCTGGGCTACAAAGTGAGTTCAAGACCAGCCTGAACTGCATAGTGAGAGCCTGTCTCAAAAAGAAAAAAAATACATACATACATAAATAAATAAATAAAGGCAACCAAGTCTAAGCAGGGAGAAGAAAATAAACTATAGAACTATAATTTATATTGCTTCCATGATACAAGAACAACATGTCATTAAGCAGAACAATCAGAGAACAAAAAAAGGAGCCTTATTATAAATTTGATAATAGACATGAAAGTTTGGAAGAATTGGAACATAAAGTAGAACAAAGAAACAAAATATAGAGGACAGGACCTGAACCCAACTGCATGAATAAAAGAAACCCTAGAAAGAGAGTCAGGGTTGTGGGTCAGTGGCAGAGGATTTGGCCAGCATGAACAAGGCCCTGGGTTTTATCTTTGGTGCCCAGAAAAAAATAATCTAGAAAGAGAAAACTAAAAATGGAGGTGAAGAAGTAACCAACAGAGAACATCTGCAGAATCAAAGGTCTGGAATTTCTAGAAAGAAAAAAAAAACCACTAAATGTTATAATGAGCATGAGCAGACCCGCATCGCTGGGTCAGAACACTGGGGTTGCAGGCCACTGGGGTCAGGAGAAAACGAAGAAGGTGACTTACACATCAGTGGGGAATGTAGGGCTGAATTAGGGATGAGTTAACCATGAATTGAGCAGATGAAAAAAGGCAACTATTAACTCCAGGGAAAATAAATTACGTAAGAAAGGAAAAGTAATCCTAGAGTATTACATGAATAGGATCTTTCATAGTCATGGATGAACACTGAGCTAACCAAAATTATTTTCTCAGGTTGAGGTGAAGGGAAAAGTTCATGCTGGGTGGGTGGGGTGGGGGTGGGGGAGGTATGTATCTATGAGAGACAGATCTACATTTCCCATAACACCTGAACTGAAAAATTAAGTAGCAGTTAAAAATACATATACAAGCTGCGCACAGTGGTGCACGCCTGTAAGCCCAGCACTTGAGAGGATGAGGCAGGAGGATCATTGTGAGTTTGAGGCCAGCCTGGGCTACAAAGTGAGCTCAAGGCCAGCCTGAACTGCATAGCAAGACCCTGTCTCAAAAAGACCAAAAACAAACAAACAAACAAACAACATATACATATATTTTAAGGTATGTAGGTCAACCTCAAAAGATCAGCCAAAAAAGTTGAAAGTTGTCCTGTCAGGGAAGACCTAGATGAGTACAGTTGGTACAATGACTATTCTTTTCTATTGCTGAGCTTCATGGTCTTACAGTATTTGCCAATTTAATAGGTATAGCTTCAATAAGAATAAAGTTTTAAAAAAAAGAAATAGGCCAGGTGTCGTGGCACATGCCTGTAATCCCAGCACTTGGGAGGCTGAGGCAGGAGAATCATCACCAGTTCAAAGCCAGCCTGGGCTACATAATGAGTTCAAAGCCAGGCCACATTACATAATGAGACCCTGTTTCAAAAAACAAAAGAATAAACAAACAAACAAAAAGAAGAACTAGAGAAAAAAGACCAAACATTCAAATTGGAGATAATTCTTTTAAAGAAGAACTAGCTGTACTCTATCCCAACTGCTGTTTGAGAAAATGTGTTTAAATTATTGTGCTCAAAACAACATAACTCTCTTCCATCTGTATCTTAAAAGGGACTTGAGAGTTTTTCAGAGCTAGAGGGATGGAAGAGAATTGAGTTGTGAGAACTACTGTCATACGCTAATTGACCTGAATAGAGATTGATTGCCGCTCTGGAGAATGGAAGGTCTGACTAAGAATTTTACAGCCAAATGTAGAGCTGGAAAAGAATGTCATGGGGATAGACTGATTGAACTGGGAGTGTTGCAGTGAATCCACTTTGAGGAGAAAGGGATTTAGAAACTCCGGTGGAAAGGGACCTGGTGACACAAGTGTCTCAGAGAATTATCATTTTGGAGTGGCACCCAGAAGGAAAGTGCTTTAGTTTTTGAAAATTGAAGGTCTTGAGAGAGTAGAAGGATGAGAATTAACTCGGAAGGCTACAGCTACGAGGGCTCGCTGATGAGGGCCTGGAAGCTGTATGATGCATAAGGCTCTCCCTCCACCTCTTGATTTTTAAGTTTTAACAAAGGAAAGTCACAGGAAAGCTGGGGTGTGTTGCTTGCCTTATTTTCATAGTTCTTTGGATTCACAAAAATCCTTTTAATTCTTTCATTCTACTATTTTAACCAGCCTGTCAAGCCTCCTGCCAACAACTTCTCTTCCTCTTCCGCATAGCTTGAACTTTGCAGTTGATCTGTAGTCACCACGTCCTATTGCTGTCCTCCTGCAGGAAAACCCAGCCTTGGGTTAATCCATTCCCTACATCTGGTGTTTGAGTAAGACGGAATGAAGCACACACCCACACGGTCATTGCCTCATCTCCACCCTTAGCCTCGCGGAGGACAACCCTCCCATTCTCCTTAATAATCCTGGACTTAAACAACCTTTCCACCTCCATTTTCTGCAGTCAAACTGGCTCTTCCTAATTCATGAACAAGCAGAAGCAATAATTCAGAACACCTGCCAGCTTCCAGCTACCCAACCTGCAAACTCAGGTCCATGCGCACGGCTGGCATCCCGCTTCCTGGCCAGAGTTAGTGCCATACGTACCATCTCTTCCTTTTCTTCTGGGACCTTGCACCATCCATTATCCGTTTTCCCTGGATGTACTAGATACTTTCCTCTCTGCCTGTTAACGCACTCAGTGTTCTTCCCTTTTAAAAGATCACCTCCTCCATGACTAGCCGTTCCTGACAGGCAGGTTCTGTAACCGCTGAGCTCTGTCTCCAGCCCTGACTGGCCGTTCTTAAAGCTACCAGACTTTTTCTATTCTTTCACCCCAGGTTGTTGGAAGAGTAACTTTATTCCCTGCTGTATTTCTTACTGCCTGTTTATGCCTTACTGTTCTCATGCTAGCTTCTGCCCTCACCACCCTACTAAAATGACTCTTCCCACCAACAGCAGTGTCCATCAGTTGCAAAGCAGCCATTTCCTTCTTTTCCTCTGTGGCTCCTGGCTGCGTTGTATGCTACATATGTGATGCTCTGTATTTCCGGAGATTTTTGCAAGTCTTTATTTCCTGTTTTCCTCTTATCACTACTGGCCTTTTCTTAGACCCTGTGGGTTCTTTTTCTTCTGCATATCTCTGTAACACTCAAGGGCCTATATTTTCATTCATAATTCTTCCCTAATCTAGTGTTCTCTTCTTATTTTACAACTTTTTTGGGGAATGAGTACTGGTTAGTTAGAATGTCCAAACATTCAGGTATCAATCTTGTCTTGTTTGAGGCACTAACAGCATACCCCAGGTCACTTAAACCAGATACCGGGAAATCATCCCAGATCTTCCTCCTTTCCTCCCTCTTTTCCATTCCCTCCTCTCCATTACTGTCACCATCGCCCAATTCAGGCCCTCCAATTTCCCACCTGGATCAGTGCAATAGCTTACCCAGTCTCCCTGCCTTTCCTGCCCTTCTCAAAAAGCTTGCCTACATCATTGCCAGGGAGCGCTTCTAAAAGGCAAATCTGATGGTGCTGTTCTGTTTACAAGCCTTCAATGGTTTCCAGTGCTTAAGAGATAAAGGTCATATCCTTAAGCATGGAATTTGAAGCCTTAAGTCACAAGGAGTCATGTGGCTCCTGCTGGCCTCACTGGTCTAATCTCCTGATATTTCTTAGTAAAGTAATATTTTATCCTCTAGTCTAGAGTTTATCAAAATTTTTGTGGAAGGGCCAAATAGTAAATAGCCTAGGCTTTGCAGGCCACACTGTCTCTTTAGAAACCTCTGTATTGTAGTACAAAAATGGCCATAAAAATAGATAAATGGCCTGGTATGGTGGTACACACTTGTAGTCCCAGTATTCAGGAGGCTGAAGCAGGAGGATTGCTGTGAGTTTGAGGCCAGCCTGGGCTACATAGTGAGTTCAAGCTCAGCCTGAACTACACAGCAAGACCCTGTCTCAAAAACAAAAAACAAAAAACAAAAACAAAAACAAAAGTAAGTAAATGAACAACTATGGCCATGACCTGATGTCACTTATGAATGCTGCAAATTTGTATGTATTTTTCATGTGCCCTTAAATATTCTTTTGATTTTTTTCCCTAACCATTTGAAAATGTAATAACTATTTTTAACTTGTGGGCTATACAAAAACAGGCAGCAGCTGGATTTGGCCTGTGGGCCTCCAACTTCTGCTTTAGTCTAGCAGTGGGAAAGTTGTTTCTTGACCTGATGCTTTTTTTTTTTTTTTGTACCAGGCACTTTGCCTCTGAGCTATTGCCCCAGCCTGACCCGATGCTTTTGTTCATGGCTTTTCCTTTCTCTGAATGTCTTTCCCCTCTTTCTACCTGGCTTGCTTATACTGATCCTTCAGGACTTACTGTAGCTTCTACTTTCCTAGGAAAGGCAAGTCTTTTCGGTCTGTACCACACAGAAGTGGTGTCTGTCCTTGAGCTCCCACATCACTCTATTCACATCTTTACTGTAATACTTGGCCACACTGTGTTACAACTTAGTGTCTGTCTGCTTCTCTGCCTTTCCCCTATAGGCCAGGCACCATGTGAGGGACACAAGAGGCATCAAACAGTGTCAAGTGGAGGAGCAGAGGAGCACAATGACCTTGTTTGATTCCTCTTTGTGTCCCTCATGTGGCGCCTGGCATGTAGTAGATACACACTAAACATTTGTTGAACTTCATTAGAAAATCTTTAGTATGATTTATTGCTGGTTGATCTTGTCTAAGTGGAGAATTGTCTCCATTCTATAAGAACTAATACAAAATTATTTTGTGTGCTTTTCCCTACTATACCCACTTGCACCCATTCCTAGAAATAATGGGGTAAAGAAGTGGTAATGGACAAAGTACAAGATGGGATTGGGAGCTATCTTACACACAATAACAGTCCCCTGTGAGGCCCAGCCCCAAATGTGGGTCACAAACAACATCTAAAGAACATATACATGCGCCAACACACAAATGTTGGGCCACCCACAAGCTTTTGAGGTGGGGGCAGTGAGCAAGGCAAAATTTTGAGGCTCCCTTCAACTTTGAGATGCTGTGAGCTGGGAGTGGTGGTGCGCACACCTGTAATCCCAGTACTCGGGAGGCTGAGGCAGGAGGATCGTTGCAAGTTCGAGGCCAGCCTGGGCTACAAAGTGAGCTCAAGGGCAGCCTGAACTGCATAGTGAGACCCTGTCTTAAAAAGACAAAAAAAGAAGAGTAGGTGTGGAACAGGGGTGAGCAAAAGGTGGAGGCTCAAAGGCAGAGGGCAGAAGGGGTGGGGGTGGGACTGCCGGCCCCTTCCACGTGTATTCACCTGGCATCCAGAACGAACTCCATCTCCGCCAGCGCACACCATGGTGTTCTTCACAGTGGAGCCCCAGTAGGAAGAGGTGGAGCAGGTGGCATAGCTCACAGTGGGCAGGTAAGCCTGCTGCAGGGTCGGGGACAACTGCCCATTGGCTGAACAGGACACACATTGGAAGTCAGCCTTGACTCTGTCCGGGGAGAAACCCTTCCACACCTGCCACACCCGCCAAGCTCAGGGCAAGTGCCTCCCCCTGTGCTGTCACAGAGCCTCTTCTCTCTCTTATTATGGCAACTACAGGCCCAAAAGACTTCTTTATACCAGTTCTCATTTTTACATGAGGAAAGTGAGGACCAAAGAAAATAAGGATTGTGATCACATGACTAGTTAGTGCAAAATTAGGGCCAGAACCTAGACGCCCTGGCTCTCACTTTGGTGGTCATTACAGCACTGTGCGACCTCCAGGCAGTGGACTGAGTTGCAGTGAACAAGCCAGGGTTGCTGCAGATCTAGGCAGGTCAGGGGCAGAAGGGCTCCAGCTTCTCTCTAGTCATCACAGGAAATGTTATTCACATTTCCGGGCATGGTGGCACACACCTATAATCCTAGCACTTGGAAGGCTGAGGCAGGAGCATCTCTGCAAGTTTGAGGCCAGCCTGAGTTACGTAGAATATTAAGTTCAAGGCCAGCCTGAACTGCATAGCAAGACCTTGTCTCAAAAGAAAGAAAGAAAGAAAGAAAGAAAGAAAGAAAGAGAAAATGGAAAGGTGGGAGGGCAACGAGACAGAGACAGCTGGGAAGGGCAGGAACATTCGGCTCAGCACAAGAGCCTGCTTGCCGCCGTCAGGCAGTGTTTGGGTTTCTTGGGGGCAGGCATGGCCTTGCTGTGAGCAGCAGGTCTGCTGGAGAACCTGGAGCTGAGAGAAAGGCTGCTAATTACTGGCTCTAGTCTCACTTCGTCTAATGTCGTCGTGGTTCAGTTTCTTGACCTATGACGTGAAAGGGTTATTGTCATGGGAAAAATGATACCTGTGTAAAGGCTTTGGCCTAGGTGTAGTAACACGTGTCTGTAATCCCAGCATGTGGGAGGCTGAGGCAAGAATATCACAGGTTTAAGCCCAGCCCAGTCAACTTAGTGATTTAGCAAGATCCTGTCTCACAGTGAAAAAGTTATAAAGGTCTGGGACTATAGCTTGGTACAAAGACCTTGGGTTCATTCCCCAGTATGTCCCCTTCCCCCATAATAACCACTCCTTGGTAGGACTGTTTTTAGCTCCAAGAGTCTGATTCACTGACTCAACTATTCCATAGACTATTCTTAGCTTGGTTTAATGTATCAGCGATTTTACCTACGGTTCCTTACATTAATGGTCTCTGGTGTTAAATACTTAACACCACAGAAAAATATGCCTTAGTAGCTCAGCTGCTAATCAAGATCCCAGTGGCAAATGGTGTCAATGTAGGTGACTTACTCCTGGTCAGGCCCCAGCCTGTTATGTAGCAGGGAGAGTTGTTAGCCAGGACGACTCCCTCCTGGGGCAGAACACCCAGCTTCACGTAGCTGTTGAGGGTAACTGCCTGGGCCAGGCGCAACAGGGCGATGTCATAGCTGCAGGGAGACAAAACTCACTCTGGAATCACACCTTCCCTCAGGTCCCCAACTGCACTCAGGTCACTAACCCTTGCATCCCCATGGAGCTGAAAATGAAATTTGCATGAGGGGGAGAACTTGCTAAGCAGTGGAGCAGTGGGAGATTGTGTGTTCAACAGCAGCATCTGCTGGTGGAATATCAATACTGCAGCCCAGGGCCAACGTCCGCCGTCCAGGAAAGCGGTGATGGGGAGTGAGCAGAGAGCTCATGCTGGTGGCAACATTCTCAGAGAAGACAGACATAAAACACTGTGTAGCCCTGAAAGCTCTGCAGACACTCCCCAGTCATTTGAACTCTGTACCTCCATACTTTTTAGCATGAACCCCTGCCTTTTTTCTTTTCTTTTGCAGTGCTAGGGGTCAAATCCAGGGTCTCTCGTGTACTAGGCAAGCACTCTGCTATGGAGTGAAAGCCCCACCTCAGCCCTAGGCATACTTTAATGATTTCCCTTCCAGTCTACAGCTCATTCTTGCAGATCTCACGTCAGGAAATTTCATTTTGAGCTGGAGGTGTAGCTCAGTGGGAGGGCCCTTGCCTAGCATATACTAGGCCCTTGATTCAATCCCCAGCACACACACAAAAAGGAAATTTTCTTTTACTGAGGGAATCTCGCTCATACAATGAACAATACATAACATCAAAAATGAAAAAGCAGCAATGTTAAGATGTACAGAGAGAGACTTCAGGTAATCAAATAACGCAAGCCCTCTTTCTTCGAACAAATCCTAAAGATCTCAAACTCCGAAGCCCTCCCAAATCTCAATTCTCAAAGCCCACCTGGGTGAATGAGCCTGCTCACTGCTTCCCTGCGGGACACAGTCTTCTCTCTTGGCCTTAACTGGCTCCTCATGCAAAGGTCAGACTGTGAGCCACAGCCCAAGCTGCAGACCGTGCAATCCCGCTAACTCTCTGGCAAAAGATGTGATGGAAGCCCAGACCCTCCACCTCCCAGCCTAGGGGCAGCCTGAGCTTGTGCTTACCCAGCAGCTACGTTATTGCGGTTCCACTGCGAATGTATCACGATCTTCTGCACGCTCACGTACTGCTCAGTACCATCGTTCTGCTGCAGGTTGTGTTCTCCGACAACCACACGGAAGGTCCGTGAACTGGAGTGACAGAAGGAAACCTCGAGTGACCCAAGGAACTCTCCTGTCCTCTTAGAGAAAGGTTGGAAAGCCATCTTCTATCTTATCCTTGGGACAGGACTCTATCATGTCTGTCTCAGGCGGAGGAGGATGAAAGTGCCTCGAAGATGAACAAGTAGCAAGTGCTTCATTCTCTGATTTACTAACTTGTGGGAGTGAAAAACAAAACACTATCAACTTCATTTTCACATCTTATAACCTGGGACAAGTGCAGTGAGCACGAATGGAATGGCTGTGGGCCACAAGGCAATTTTGAGGGAAGTAAAAACTTCTTTCCTTGTTTTGTTCTTGAGACAGGGTTTTTTCTATGTAGTTTGGGTTGACCTTAAGCTCACTACTATGTAGCCTAGGCTGGCCCCAGACTCACAGTGATCCTCCTGTCTCAGCCTCCTGAGTGCTGGGATTATAGGTGTGTACCACCATGCTTGGCATAGACTGGTAATTCTTCAAGTGTGGTCCTGGGTCCACAAGCATTAGCCATCACCCAGAGACTTGTGAGAAGTGCCTATCATCAGAGCCAGGCATGGTGGCGCACGCCTGTAATCCCAGCACTCTGGGAGGCTGAGGTAGGAATGTCATAAGTTTGTGCTCTTCCTGAGCAACTTAGTGACTTCAGTGAGACCATGTCTTCAAATAAAATATAAGAACAGGTGAGTATGCAGCTCAGTGTGAAGCCCCTGGGTTTAACCCGTAAATCACACACACAATAGAAGGCAACGCCTATCCTCAGGCTTCATGGCGGACTTATCACATCAGAAATTCTACTCGGTGGTGCTCAGCCACCTGTGCCTTCCACGTGATTCTGATACATCTCAAGTTTGAGACCTGACCACAGTGAAAAAACAGTTACCAGTCCTGTGTTGACTAGGTACTGAAATATTCGCTCAATCCTAACAACTCTACCCATAGGTGTTACCATCCCATTTTAGAGATAAGGGAACGAGAGAAGGGCCAAGCTAACTCCGTTGCTCAAGGTTACATAGCGAGAAGGTGGTGAGGCGAGGTTTGAGCCTGAGCCTGACTCCATAACTTGTACTTTTCTCTATACTGTCTCCTTGCTACAGTGAGTTCCAAACACAAATGGCTTGGCCAGTGGCCTACGTTCTCCCGCCCTCAGAAGTGAAAATTAGACCTTCCTGCAGAAAACCCAGCATCTCCTCCTCCCCGGGGCTCAGAAAAGCCCATCTTTGTTTTTCTCACCTGTCTACACAGTGAGCAGCTGTCAACACCCAGTTCTGTCTGATGAGGGTCCCTCCACAGGTGTGGTGCCAGGAGCCTAGAGAAGAGTACTGGAGGGAAATCTAGATGGGGAGGAAAGAAAGGAGGGATAGGCTGGTGTTTCTCAAAAGGCTTTGCCCCAAACAAAAATTCCTGACATCCCTCAAAACATTCTCCAACTTTCCGAACTAAGGCTAGCAAATAGGTTTCATTCGACCTGCCGATTGCTATGGATCGGTTGGTAGTGGCTACCTAGAGTGTGCTGGTGATCACAGGTGTGCTGATGCTTCCGGGGTCAGCTTACCAGAATGCTCCATTGTTGGGTGAGGTGTGCCGTGTACACGGACGGAGGGATGAAGGCACCCATGCAGTGTATTTGGCATCCTTGCTCTAAGTTGTTAAAATGGGCCTCGAACCCAGGTCCTTTTATCACTGTTCTTTCTTGGAAAGAAAGACCTCCTTCCAGTGTTGTCAAAAACGCTATCCCCCGTTTCAGAAACACCAATGGAATATTCATTTCCATCAGTTCATGTTTCCTCATATTTAACAATAGCTCTACTGAAAAATAGGGCTCAAACTGTGGTAAACTGGATCTAACTGCAATGGCAGTGATTCCTCTCAAAGTGTGGCTCTTCACCCGTTAAGTGGCTGGTTTCACACATTTAGATCTGCCTAAAGTGGGGCCTAGCCACCCTGTTACAAAAATGGAAACTCTCTGCCCAAAGAAGTGACAGCTTGATGTATGTACGTGTGCATGCGTGTGATGTGCGCTGTGTGGAGTGCATTTCTGGGCCTGGCACACAGTCTTGCAGCGTGTCACAAGGAGTGCTGCTGGGAGTATAAAGGTAGTCTGCATTTGGGGGTATGCCCAGAAGTGTGGCTCGTGCTAAGTCCCCTCTGCCAAACCTTTTTGTTTTGTTTTGTTTTTGTCTTTTTGAGACAGGGTCTCACTATGCAGTTTAAGCTGGCCTTGGCCTGACTCACTTTGTAGCCCAGGCTGATCTTGAACTCACAACGATCCTCCTGCCTCAGCCTTCCCAGTGCTGGGATTACAGGTGTGCGCCATCACACCCGGCTCTGCCAAACCTTTTGCATTTAGGAAACCAACTAAGCCTGGTTCCATCCATCTTTAAAACCAGGGATCTAGACAGGTGGTGAGCTGCTGGTTGAGAAGAATACACACAAACATACATAATACTTTTTGTAAATGCATAGCAACACTCATTTAGTTGAGAGTCTGGGCTGTGAGCGAACACCCACCTGAGAGGGCCAGGAATTCTTCCTGGCCTCGGTCCCTCCAACTACTCGAGCATTAGTTTCTGGAAAGTCCTGGGTGCTGTGTCCTTTGTGGAGCAGAAGAAAAGTGAGTGATGACGAAGCACGGTCAGCTCCGGGGGGGTGGGGGAGGGCCGCGGCACTCTGAGGAATGTTAGCCGCGTCTGCACTTTCACAGCTCTTCTCTAACAATCCGGGGCCCCGCTCTGAGTTCTCTAAGCCCCTCTGAAAGCACTGGCACCTGAGTACCTTCTGCTTTTCCCAGGTGTCCTGGAACTGTGGTGTGCTAGGACCTATCCAGAATCACCCGTCTGCAGCCCCAGAGGCTCCTTGGTCTTGGCTTGCTTGGCTTGAGGGAGCTCCTCCCCTGTGTTTGATAGGATTTCCCAGTGGACAGGGACAGCAGGGCACATCCCAGCCGGGGCCTGCTCAGGACATCCTCCTGTCAAGAGGGCTGACAGGGAAGCTCTGGCCCCTCAGAAGAGGCTTCTTTTTGCTGCATGGCTCTAGGCCCTTTTACCAGAAAAGCCTTGCATGGCTGGTGGTGACCCCACCTTTTCTATCTAATGCTCCAAGACAGTAAAGTTTTTGCTAAACTCACAGGCAGAGCATCCTACCCTCCCTGAGATAGGGAGCTGGCCTGGGCTTAGGGAAGACATTCTGGCCCTCGTGCAAAAGTTCCCCTCTCTACAGAACTCAGGCCAAAGGATCCACTTACCATAAAGGACCAGGGTGGTGAGCACGAGGAAGCGCAGCATCTTGCCAGTGAAGTAGACCACTGCCCTCTTGCCATGAACCAAGCCCTCTTTATACTCCTCTTATCAGCAGCTTTGCTGACCTTCTTCCTGCCAGCTGACAGGGCTGTGGGTGGAAGGCAGGGAAAGTCACAGGTGACATGGAAGTACAAATGAAATGATTGCTTTTCAAGTCAACTAATTTATCTGTTATTCAAAGACAGAACAAGGTTGGAGCTCAGTTAATCATCTGCTTTTAGTTGAAAAGCATCCAACAAACACTTTTTCAAAAATAAAATGGAAGCTGGGCGTAGTGGCACATGCCTGTAATCCCAGCGCTCGGGAGGCTGAGGCAGGAGGAGCCCACAAGTTCAAGTGCCTGGGTTACATAGTGAGTTCAAAGCTAGCCTGAACTACATAGTGAGACCCTGTCTCTAACAAACAAACAAACAAACAAACAAACAAACTATATATATAAAATAAAATGGAGAAACAAGACCACTTTCCCTTGGAGCGCACTCCTCATCATCCTACCCTCAGCATCCACTACTGTGCCACTGTTAATACAGCGGAGGGGAAGGCAGAGCAGGAGGGAGAGGGCGGTCAGCGGAAGGAAGACGCTCCAGAGAAGGAGCCAGGGATGCCCCTTGCACGTAGGTGTGAACGCAGGCGGAAGCAAAGCGAACGCCCTGGGGAGAGTTCTGGTGGAAGGAAATACTGAGAAACAGGCTGGGAAGACTCGAGTCAGTGAGAGCTCCTAGAACCGAAGCATGTGGGGCAGGACTGACAGGGAGCTCGGTGGGATGACAGCCTGTGGGCTGTGGGAACTGGGGGCGGAGGGCGCAGGAGGTGAGGGGCAGCAGGCCCTGCGGAGGTGAGGGGCTCTGCCACTCAAGGTCAACAGAGGAGAAATGGGTGAGGTGCAGCGCACCCTGAGGCCCCTGGGTGGGGCACGAAGTGACCAGCACCACAGCAGGCCTGCAGCGAAGGAGGTGGAGCAGGGGAAGCAGCGAGGGGAGCAAGGTGGGGGTCCTGAGCTGGGCAGGGGGATGCCTGGAAGCCTACAGAGCAACGAAAGCCGCCCGGCTCACCCGGGGCTTTTGTTGTCCACACTGCAGAAGCCGGGCTTCACGCCACAGGCGTGGGAGAGGCCTGGGGAACATGTTCGGAATCTACACAGACGTCACTTGTCCGGCTCCTTGAGCGGTTCAGAGCTGCGCTTTCAAGCTCAGGTCACCCGGAGGGCTCTCTCTCCAGTTCAGTCTCTTGCATTCAACGCAAAGTGGACTTCAGGGAGGTGCCTGAGTGGGGCCGGGGATCCCTGCCCTTTGTCATTCTCCTGCTTCGCTGCCTCTCTGGAGAGTAGGCGGCTGTTTGCCCCGGGGAGGTGACCAAGAGGGGGCTGAGGACCTCTGAAGGTTACCCCTTGACAGCACCTAGTCCAAAGCTGTGAACCTTTAAGGGCAGGGCCCATTTCATATGTGTCTCTGTACCCTTGGACGGACCGGGGAAACCCAATCTGTATTTGCTTAAAAGCCAGACTCTTGGACTGTACTTACACCCCTCACAATGGGGGCCTAATCTCCCACGCTGGTCGGGCTCATTTATTTTCACTTTTTGAGTTAGGCATATAGTGGTTTTGGCTTACATTTTCAGGTACTGTATTTCTTCTGACTAAGCAATTCCAATGCTAGCAATACATCCTTTTGGAATAAACATGGGCACAAAAATAAACATACAAGGCTGTGGATTACAAATTTGAATAAATTAGTTTAGTTTCTTTTTTTCTTTTTTTTTTTTTTGAGACAGGGTCTTGCTGTGTAGTTCAGGCTGACCTTGAAATCACTGTGTAGCCCCTACTGGCCATGAACTCAAGGTGATCCTTCTGCCTCAGCCTCCCAAGTGCTGGGATTACAGGTGTGCACTACCACACCCAGCAATAAATTATTTCTAATCCTACTGTGAAATACTATGTAGTTTTAAAACAGTAAATTATGTGGGCATGGTGGCATATGCCTGTAATCCCAGCACTCGGGAGGCTGAAGCAGGAGGATTAACACAAGTTTGAGGCCAGCCTGAGCTATATAGTGAGTTCAAGCCTAGCCTGAACTGCACAGTGAAACTGTCTCAAAAAGATGAAGAAAACATTTTTAAAAAGTAAGTTAGATTTAAATGAGCTGACATGAAAACATCCTAAGTGAAGAAACAAAAGTCACACACAATATGGTACTGTGTATTAGCATATTTGTATATCGCTAGAAGATGACTGAGGAGGGTCTATTAACCAAGCTGTGGCCCTGGACAGCTAGAAGGGTAGCCTCACAGGATTATAAACTAACATTCACATGTGATTTTCCGAGTCTCTTGTACATGGACTGTGTGAGTGACAGTGGAGGGCCGTACAGGAGAAGGCCCAGTGTAGCGCTGTCTCTGCCTCCCGCGGCCACCATGCAGCTGACCCTGAGCCCTCCTGGTGAGCGCAGTGCAGCAATTCCCAACAGCACTTCAACTTACCTACACACGTGCGCCTCTGAAGATAGGAGTTCACTGTTGCTAAGCAGACGTACAAGCTTTCTTGCTTAATTATTCAACGTGAGCTTGTTATTTCATAAAGTAATATAATAAGGTAAAATATGAAAACTAAGGGGAATTTTGGAATTTATGTACATTAATTGTATTATACATTTAAAGCTGGGCATGGTGGCACAGCCCAGCACTTGGGAGATTGAGGCAGGAGGGTCACTTGAGCTTGAGGCCAGCCTGGGCTATGTAGTGAGTTCAAGGTCATCCTGAACCGCATAGCAAGAACCTGTCTCAGAACAAAATAACAGTAAAACTATATTATACATTTTATACGTGGCCTGAGAATTCCTCTACAGTTGCGCACTGCAGACCAGGCAAGTCAGAAGTTTGGACACCTATGCTGTAAATAGTTTTTACTCTAGAGAATAAATCAATAGGTGTGGGACATCATGAGGCTAAATTAATTTCCTTCTTTTTTGGAGACAGGATCTTACTAAGTCATTCTTTTTTTTTTTTTGTCTTTTTGAGACAGGGTCTCACTGTGCAGTTCAGGCTGGCCCTGAGCTCACTTTGTAGCCCAGGCTGGCCTCGAACTTGCAATCCTCAGCCTCCCAATTGCTGGGATTACAGGCATGCACCACCATGCCCGGCTGAATTTTGTTTAACCTCCTATTTTCTATGTTATCTGACTTTTCTCTACAGTATTATTTTTGTAATTAAAAATAATAAATTCTGGGATATTTTGCTCCCTGGGGCAACCAGTTCTTCAAGTACCCAGAGGGGATCAGTGCCTCAGTGCTATGGTGCTGGGAAATAGTTGCATAGGGCTAGGAGCAGGTTCTAAAAGGCGAGGCCCTTGGTTAGCTCTGAGAACGGCTGGGGTGGGGACAGATGGGTTTAAAGGAATAATGCAGGTGTTGAGTTAGGACAAGGTTAGCTGTCGCTACGGGGAAGGACAAGAAATGACTTCCTCAGTTTTCCTACTACTCGGTCAGCACCCTCTTCCTCCTCTTGACCACTTCCCTTCCTTGGCCTCCCCTGGGCATGGCATGTGGTCCTGTCTCCCTCTAGCTCCACCCCTGACCCTGTGAGTTACTCATTTAAAAATTTTTTTTTCTTTGAGACAGGGTCTGCCCTCAAACTTATGGTGATCCTCCAGCCTCAGCCTCCTGAGTGTGGGAATAACAGGCGCGCGCCACCACGCCTGGCTGAGTTACTCTTAACTCATTTAGGAAATCCCATTTTGGGGCAGGTGTGAGGAAGCTTCTTGGCATCGCAACAGAGCAGCACCTTGGTTGGGCACAAGATGACTGAGGTGGGCAGCTACTGGGTGATGCTACAGACGTGGCGAGATGCGCTGGGATCACTGGCAAGTGACCCATGCATGGTGGAAGCTTGGACATTTGATGCAACCAAGACTGAAGTCAGGAGTGTGGACTACGGCTCTGGCTGGCCTTGGTTGTTAGAACTAGAGTCAAAGCCTTTTCATTTGGGCCCCACTGCACTCTTCCGTAGAGCAGACTTGCCTAGTGGCAAAGGGCCGAGGGCCTGCAGTACTTTTATTTATTTATTTATTTATTTAGTTTTGTTTTTCTTCCAGTACCAGGAATCGAATTTATGATCTTGCGCTTGCCAGGCAGGGTGCTTTGCTGCTGAGCTAAATCCCCAGCCCCTCTGCAGTACTTTCAAAGGGCTCACAAAAATGTTTTAGATTCTTTTAAGATCAGAATAAGATAAACAGAATCTGGATTACATTCACCTTTATGCCCGTGCATTCATAAAATACAATTGTATTTTTTTTTAGTACAGCAAGGGTCCTAGGAAGGCAAAAGTGCTTCGTGTCCACTAAGTCAACATGCAGCCCTCATCTGGATTCTATGTGCCCATCTCTCCCCTCCATGAGGACTTTCTTTCTCTTTTTTTGGTCTTTTTTGTCTTTTTGAGGCAGGGTCTTGCTATGCAGTTCAGGCTGGCCTTGAGCTCACTGTGTAGCCCAGGCTGGTCTCGAACTCACAACAATCCTCCTGCCTCAGCCTCCCAAGTGCTGGAATTACAGGCATGCACCACCATGCCTGGCAAGGTCTTGCTTTTTTAGATCCACTTGTATTTTTGTCCCTCTCCAGCTACCCTCATGCTAGCTGGCTGCTTGTGTGATATTTCTGCTTACTGAGTCTGTCCCACCGGACACTTCTCTATCAAGGAGGTCAAATGTTGCTGTCTTTGTGAGGCCTTTCCTGATTCCTTTAAGTGGAAGGGATTTTTCCCTGTAGCTCACAGAACACATTTTGGACATCTCCACGCTTTCACAACTTGTCTACGTTTGGACTGGGAGTTCTTGGCAGAAGGACCTCATCTTCCATCTCTGCCTACTTACACATGCTTGATACTCGCTCCATAGGCCAGACCTGGGGCCAGAGGATACTTCGGGAAAGGGGGCTGGGGTGTAGCTGTGCTTTTCCAGTGTATGTGGTATTTCCCAGCCTGAATCAATTGACTCAGCTAATGCACGGTGAGGGAAAGAGAAGCCCAATACACACTTCGTCTACCAATACCATAAACTTTTATTTCCACTGGAGTCCCACGTCCAACTCTTCTCTTTGAGAGGTGGAACTTTCCCTTTCCCCACCAGCTCTAGCCTGGACGCTTTCTCCTTTCCCTTTGGTGGGGGCACGTCAGGGTGTCTCCTTTTCTGGGTGCTGAAGGCTCCCAGGGACCTCTTGCCCTGCTACGTGCGAACTGGAGGCCGAGGCGGTCCCATGGCGCCCTCATGTGGCAACAGCCTGCTATTGACGTCAAAGGACTTCCTGGACAGAATTTTACTTTCTTGCAGACAGGGGTGCTGTATCAGACAAAGCCGCCAGGTGCAGTGGGGTCCATCTTGCTTGGAGAAGAGCTAGTGCACACACTGGGTCTGCTTCACACCAGGGCTTCATGCAAGCACCGCAGACGGGATCAGTCACGCCTGACTGCGCAGTGTCCCTGCTTCCCAGTCTTTCTTTTTTTTTTTTTGGAGACAAGGTTTCATTATGCAGTTCAGGCTGGTCTCACACTCACAGCAAGCCTCCTGCCTCAGCCTCCCAAGTGCTGGGATTACAGGCGTGCGCCACCACGCCCAGCCTGCCTCCTCAGTCTTGCCAGGACTCTTGTTAACTTCCTCTGGGCTGACAGTACCTCAGGGATAAGAATGGGGCAAAGAGGGAGCAGGAACTCCTGGCTAGCTCTCTAGTGTTCTTGTGGCACCGTGGAATGATCCATGGTTCAGCGGTGAAGACAGCCTCAGCGTCAGCTTCAGCCACTAGTTACGCAACCGCAGACCGACTACTGTATCTCTGCCTCTGCTCTGTTGCCTATAAGGTGGACACTGTAGCTCTCATCCCGTCTTCCTCACAGGGTTATTGTGCAAATGAAATAAGGTAAAGGACACCTCACTGGGTGCTTTCTGTAAATTGTAATCAGTTCTACCCACCAGGTATTATTAGCAAGGGAGGCTCTCGTTGACCTCAAAACCCTATTAGATCACACTACTTGACTGAACCCTGCAGGTGCTCTGGCTGACCAAGGTGTCAGGACGGGGCTGCAGAGGGAGGTATTCTTCTTGACCTCAGGGTTGCTGCCTTTGGCCTGCCCTCTGCTCCAGGGGTCTTTGTTTCAAGAACAGAAGGAAGCTCTAGGTGCATCCACAGTCTCTTCTATCAGCGTGGAAGGAAGAAAAGGGGCCCAGAGTTGCTGCAGGGGCCAGAATGTTCCGCCTTGACATCCATTTGGTTTTCAGACCCACCCCGAAGGCCTGCAGAGCCTGATGATCAGCTCCCCAGACACCCGCAATCCTGTTTCCTGAGAGGACTTGGGCGCGGGGGTTGATCAAGGGCCTAGACAAAGAGCCAGAGCTGGTGGGGGTCACTGGGATCGCAAGGCGCCATGGCGGGCTTTTTGTCCTGGGATGTCAGGCAGGTACCAGATCCCGAGTTCCTGATGAGCTGACCCTAAAAACAACACACAGCAAAGGGTCAGTCTGGGCTGCCAACCTCTAACGGTGCTACTGGGTGGAGGCAACTGCTAAGACAAAGGAAGCCCAGCGAGGCACAGGAGGACACATCCAATTCCACCCCTGGAAGGCGGACTCTGAGAGATGCATCCCCAAATGTCTCCCTGTTCCCCGACCCCAGTTTTAGCCTGAGTAGCTGGAAAACAAGTAGAGGGAAGCAAGAAAAACACTTTCAAGGCCTCCCTATAGCCAGGTTCAAAGATCTGAGGCCACTGTTGCCCACACCCCTTTTTGTGTATTAGATATTCTGACCCCCTGTATGCTCAAGGCTGGGCCCTTTTCCAGAGTGGAATGGAGTCCGGGCTCCGTCCGTGCACCTGATGCTTATCCTGAGGCAGTGCGGTACCATGGGAAACACAAAGGCTTTGAAGTCAAACTTACCTGGTCGGAGTCCCGCCCCGCCACTTATGAGTGACGGGTCCCGGGAACCCCTGGGGTCTTGGGTGTGGGGCTTCATTTGGTTCATCTGTAGGAATGGGGCGCTGCCTACTTGGAAAGAGCCCCTGAAGGATTAACCAAGCTAATGCATGTAACTACTTCATTTTGCACCTGCCACACAGAGGCAGGCGGGGTCCCTGAATGACCCTTCACGATGATCTACTAACAGTGCTAAAATGCCAAAAATGCCCGCGCTACGGCAGAACCGGACACGAGCCCTGCTCTCTGGCCCAGGTTTGTATCAGCCAGAACCAGCCACTGCCAACCAGTACCCTAGTCCCGAGAACCCTGCTGCGTCCAAGCCCACGCTCACCACTCCATTGCTGCAACCCGCCCCAGTGTCTCAGGCAGAAGACACAGAACACAAGCAAGGGGCAAATGTGGCCTCAGGTTCCTGATCCCAAGCCTGTTTTGTTTTGTTTTGAGGGAGTCTCACTATACAGTCGGGGCCCACCTTGAACTTGCTATGTAGTCCAGGCTGGCCTTGAACTCATCTTCCTGCCTCAGCCTCCCAAGTGGTGGGATTATAGGTGTGCACTACCATACCCCGCTTAATTCTGAGCTTTCTGGGCAACTGACTCACCTGGGTCAATTCCCATTCCTCGTCCTTGGGCACTTGGCTATTTTTGCCAGTGAAGTGACAGGTCCTCATGCCCAGTGTGCTGGCACTGGCATATAGACACAGCTGTTTAGCAACGTTGTGACGCAGGTCTCTCTGGGTTGTATACTCAAAGTACTGGAAGTCAAGAGAAGGTCCTGAGGAACAGGTGGGGAGTTTGTCTGCCACCTTCCAAAGCCACCTGCCCTAAAATGCCAACACAGGCGGACTCCAAGGGAGTAGAGCGAGTGGACGAGGCCATGCCGAGACTTTTCTAACTCTTTTTGCCTTCATGACTTTTACCATATCTGGTCATAAGGAATAAGTATATATATATAGAGAAAAAATTTTCCACACCCACCCGTAAATATCACCCAGCCTCTGGGCTCCTCTACGAGCCTTCTCTGATGACCAGGGCTTGCTCCCATCGCTCCACTGCACCAGCACGGGAGTCAGTGTTCGCACTCTGTCCCAAGCTGAGACCTCAGACCTTGTCTGTGTCATGCAGTCCCTCTCAGACTGGGAGCTTCCTGAGGTGGGGACGGTACCTCCTCCTCTTCCTCTTCTGGGTGTCATGCACCCAGGCCTCGGGAAAGGACTACTTAGGGTACAGGGAAGGAGCCAGGGAGAGGAGGTGCCCGAGAGACAGGCTTCTCATGGGCCTGCCTGCGGGCCCGGGCAGGCTGTCTACCTGATTGCCGCCAAGGCCGTGGCAGGCGTACATGATGAGGGGCTTCCCTCCACGGTTGTTCTCACCCACATCCAGGCACTGATTGAGGCCGAGGTTCTTGATCTGCAGAATGGTAAGCAGAGAGGGGAACCAGGGTCGCACAGCGGGGAGTTTCCTAGTGGTGCTATGGGGCCCACCAGACTGGAACCAATTCGCAGGGCTGGATTTCTCCTCTGTGGTTTTTCCTCTCCTGTTCACTAATCCAGACACCTGACGTTAACAGCACAGGGAGGTGCCTGGGCCTGAGCGTAGTCCTCAGCCCGAGCAAGACAGGCCTGGACACCCTCTATGGGGAAAGACGGGGAACTACTCAGGACGCTAGATTCCCTGGAAGCCTTGAGCACATGAGAGTTTCCTTAGAGCAACGGTTCTCCAAGTATAATCCCCAGACCATCAGCACCACCCGGGCCTTGGTAGAAATGCAGATTTTCAGACCCCAGCCCAATCCTTAATCAGAAACCCTGAGGGCAGGGCCCAGCAACCTATTTCAGCATGGCACTCCTGCTGACTGACGCACACCGGCATGTGAGAATCACTGCTTCTGGGTGGCTTGCCTCCTGCCAGATTTTTAGCTATCTCTAGAAGCCCCAGAGCGGCTCCCCCACCCGCTTCCTGGATAAACAATGCTGGAGAGTGCAGGTCAGTTACTGACCGCCATTCTTTGGTATGGTAGGTGGTTCTGAACTTCTACAGGGGGTGCTGTGACGATGGGTAGACACATTGGTTCTCAAACTTACGGCTCCATAGAAGGTTGGATTCAGGTCAGGAACAAACATCTCTGGGTAGACGTTGTGCAAGAACCAGGAAAAGTTGTGACAGTGTAGTCGTTCCCTCAGCTGCAGTCGTTCCGAAATGTCACCAAAGGACTTCTGCCAAGCAAGCCAGCCCCCTCTAATGGTCAGTTCCAAAGTCACACAGAGCTCCCAGCACCAACCCTCTCCTGCTTATTCCTGCTCAGGACCCACTGGAGCTACAGGCGCCGCCTGGCGTCCAATCCCAGACCTTCCGCACTGGCTTGGGAGCCCCCACTCATATCCCCACGAGCTCTTTCACCTCCCATGACTGCCAGGCAGTTCTCCTGGTGCCCAATTCTAGCTTATCAGAGCCTCCCCTCCTGTAAGAGTCTTTCCCTCTGAATCTCTTTTCCTTTCTCTCCCCTCCCAGGCAGGGCCAGCCAAGGTTCCCCTCCTCCTTGTCTAGCCTTCAAGATCTGTATGTGCATGGCCGTCCCATGGGCTTTGCCCCACACGGCTCTGAGAGGTACAGCGAGGCACCGGGTGGTAGCGATGGGGAGCTCCCTGTCATTAGGCCCCTGGCCAAGATTTGAGATTCTGGTTGTTTTTTTTTTTTTCCAGTACTGGGAATTGAACTCACGACCTTGCACTTGCCAAGCAGGCACTGTGCCGCTAAGCTAAATCCCCAGCCCCAAGATTCTGTATTCTTTTCATCCAAACTCCATCTGAGCACTACCTCTCTCACCTCTTGGGCTATCTTTGCTGCCTGCAGATTTCTTCTGTAGAAAATCTTCTTGTAGTCATCCATCCACACCTCAGCCAGGCGCACTTGGTTACGAGCAATGACACTGGTGCCCTTGGGGAAGCTGTGGGGGCTCTTGGTACGGAACACATGGCCTACCACAGAGCAGGGGATGATCTCCAGCTGGCCCCCACACTGCCACACCTGACACAAGAGGAGATAGGGTGGGGCCTTCAAGAAGATGCCAGGGAATAGGACAGTCTCCCCCAAAGCACCTCTGTTCAGTTCCCAGGATGCTGGACTCCAGGTCCAACAATTCAGGCAAATACTATTCTCTCTTTCTGGAAAACAGGACAATGACTAGGCTCTTCCTAGGCCATGAGCTCACAATCCCAGGTTCTCTGATGTTGGTTTATGCAAATGAAGGTTTGCAGTGGTGAGGCCCAGGGCCCTCTTTAGAGAAAAGATGGTTACTTTTGTGCTGTAACCTACTCTGAGCTCTGGTCACTTGCCTTTTTGACCTGGAAATGTGATATTGTTTTTTTTTTTTGTTTGTTTTTTTTTTTTTTTTTTTTTTGAGACAGGATCTCACTATGTAGCCAGCCTTCATTACGTAGCCAAGGCTAGCTTTGAGCTCACGGCAATCCTCCTGCCTCAGCCTCCTGAACGCTGGGATTACAGATGTGCGCCACCACACCCAGCTTGGAAATGTGATTTTTATCAGCTTAACAAAGTATTAACTGGAGATTCAAGTTCCCCAAATCAGAGCATCCATGTATATTAGTTATCAGCAAGAACATGTAACTGCCAGGTGGCCTGTGGTAGTCACCTGAGCCCTTAGCATGCCAGTTTCCTAGGAGGGGGACTGAAAGCAGATCAGAAGCTCACTGAGGAACCTAGAATCAGAAAACCTGGCGTTATGGTGACTGGCAAGTGACCCTTCTCCTTGCCAGTGGACAGGCCTATGACATCCTTCCCCTGCTCTCTTCTTCTGGGCTTTATTGGAAACTAATAGGTTATTCATTTTTGTATGGCAACATAGAAGCACGCAGTCATAGTATTAGCAGATATCAGTTATGTGCTTAATATGCACCAGACACTGTGAGAGGTGACTTTATACATGAGCTCATTTATATATTACTTTTCTACTGGCATGGGGATTTGTGGAGGTTTCATAGAGGCAATCCTTCCTTCCTGATTTAATTTTGATTTGCCTAATTCTGTTTTTTTTTTTTTTTTTGTGGTACCAGAAATTGAACTAGGGACCTTGTGCTTGCCAGGCAGAAGCTGTGTTGCTGAGCTATACCCCCGGCTGCCTAAGTCTTAGACTCCCTCAGAGTTCTTGTGTCTACCAGAATTGGGGCCACTATCTTCTTATTTGATTTTTTTTTTTTTTTTTCTTTTTGAAGAAGGGCCCTGCTTTGTGGTTCAGGCTGGCCTTGAGCTCACTTTGTAGCCCAGGCTGGCCTCAAACTCACAGTGAACCTCCTGCCTCAGCCTCCTGAGTGCTGGGATTACAGGTGTGTTCTACCACGCCCAGCTTAGGGCCAACATCTTGTCCCATAGTTATGAAGAGGTTGTTGAGTATAGATAGGGGCAAGCCAGATGCAACCTGGGCATGTGTCTTTTTGCCTGAGAAGGGGACCTCAACTGTTT